CATGATAAAAACATAGCAAGGTATAACCGTTCTCTCAATTTGTCGGCCATGATTTTTTTTTTGAAGTTTGCCAACATTTTAAAATCATATAAAAGTGAAAATAAAAAATTGAAATTGTACGAAATTGTTGTTGCTTGAGATTGAAAATGAAAATGTGTGTGTGAGTTTGTGAGTAAATTTAAAAATTAAATTGTTTGGAAACGTCAAGAATTTTAAAAGTGACTCTCAGCGGTTCTACCTTGCTATATTTTTATCATGGTTTTCTGTTTTTGTTTTATGAGTTGCAGTGTTGTTGGAGGGACTTTTCGGCATAAGGGTCATAAGAACAGCACTTGGCTTCAAACGTGCCTTTCCTGTACCTCCCGGTGTATTTGTGGAATCTACTTCTTTAAAATGTTTAACGCACAGCAAGGCATTTCACTGCAGCTCAGCCCACAGCTGCTTTCGCAACGTTCCTTACGCGAAGAACATTGAGGCACGTTAAAAAATTAGTGGTATCTGCCTTATATTTAACACCACATAAAAAACAACGCTTCAGGTGTTGCATTTTTAACACATACACTAAGTATAAACCGCACAACACTACAAAAATTCAAGTGCAAATTAAAATTTGTTATTAACGAACATTCAAAAAAAAAACAACGATATGACATTCAAAGCGTAACGAAATATAGGAAATAAAATAAAATCAAGTTGAAGTTTAAAGGTTTGGTTCTCACGAGAGCAACGTCATTTTGGCTTCTACCTGTATTTATGTGCCTTGGAATAGATTAAAAAACGGGATGTTGACAAAACTTTGATTTGAAAACAAATGGATTCGAAAAGGAAAATAAATTTGAAAACAAAAATTAAAATAATTTGATCTGCATCAAGGCACATAAATACAGGTAGAAGCCAAAATGACGTTGCTCTCATGAGAACCAAACCTTTAAACTTCAACTTGTTTTTCTTTTATTTCCTATATTTCGTTACGCTTTGAATGTCATATCGTTGTTTTTTTTTTTTGAATGTTCGTTAATAACAAATTTTAGTTAACATTTGAGTTTTTGTAGTGTTGTGCAGTTTATACTTAATGTATGTGTTAAAAATGCAACACCGAAGCGTTGTTTTTTATGTGGTGTTAAATATAAAGCAGATACCATTTAACGTGCCTCAATGTCCTTCGCGTAAAGAGCGTTGCGAAAGCAGCTGTGGGTCAGAGCTGCAGCGAAATGCCTTGCTGTGCGTTAAACATCTTTAAAGCAGCAGATTTCATAAATGCACCGGGAGGTACAGGAAAGGCACGTTTGATGCCAAGTGCTGTTCCTATGACCCTTATGCCGGAAAGTCCCTCCAACAACACTGCAACTCATAAATTAAAAACATAAAACAACATACAAATTAACAAATTTTAACTAAAAAAATAAATAAATAGAAACAAAACTTCAAATTTACTCAAAAACGTCAACCAGCGAAATGTAATTTTTTATTTTTCCTTACACACGCTCATTTTTATTTTTACTCTCCCGAAAACTTTGACTTTTGTAGGTTCGATGTCAATTTGGCTTCTACCTGTTTTTATTGTACCATGGATCTGCATAGCATAGATTTCAAACTGATTGATGGACAAAAACAAAAAAAAACAAAGAATCATGTAATCAATAAAAACAGCATTTTTGTAATGCATTACGCGACTCGCTTGAAATAAAAGCAGCAAAAGGTTTATAGTGAAATCAAAAGCAGAAAAAAAATCGAAGAAAAAAAACAGCTTTGTAACACATTTAAAAACAATGAAATAAATTCAATTCAGTTGTTGTAATAAAAATTCAGACAACTTGTAAGAGGCAAATGATCGACAAGGAATTTCGTTGGCAGCCAAAACAGGCGGCGCTGGCGAACTGTGAAAATATTTATTTAGTTGCATTTTCATTTGAAAATGAATTCTCAATGCGCTTTTAGTGAATTTTGTTTACTTTTACTTTAAATTTGGTTCGATGCCTCGCGCAAGGCTCATCATTTCATTCTAATTCGTTTTCATTCAATATTCTGCAGCTTTCTTTATACTTGTATATAAAATAATGCACGTAACAGAATTAAAAAAAAAAAAATTAGTCGATATTGGCATGAAAAATATTAAATTTTATAAGACTGTCTTGAAGCACTGAATAATTTTCCCCTTTAGTTGTATATGTATATATATATTTTAGANATTCGTTTTCATTCAATATTCTGCAGCTTTCTTTATACTTGTATATAAAAATAATACACGTAACAGAATTAAAAAAAAAAATTAGTCGATATTGGCATGAAAAATATTAAATTTTATAAGACTGTCTTGAAGCACTGAATAATTTTCCCCTTTAGTTGTATATGTATATATATATTTTAGAATCAATCCTGCGAAGGACCAATATTTATCACTTTTTATAGTTTTATATACATAAGTACATAATATGCATATTATGCAAAACTGACCACCAACTTGNTATAAGACTGTCTTGAAGCACTGAATAATTTTCCCCTTTAGTTGTATATGTATATATATATTTTAGAATCAATCCTGCGAAGGACCAATATTTATCACTTTTTATAGTTTTATATAAGTACATAATATGCATATTATGCAAAACTGACCACCAACTTCTCTTCTTTGCTATGTAAAAATAGCTGTATTCATTAATGATAGCTCATGAGGAGAAAATGTGTACATTTTAACCATGAGAGCGTATTAAACCATAAATTTTAAACTCGGTGAACGAAATTTTTCACCAGAATATTCAGGATATGTATTTTATTCTCAATTTTAAAATTTTGTCTTTAGTTTTTACATTTATTTAAAGTTGTTAATTTTTCACTATTATTATTTAGCTTTCATTTATTTTTAAAATTTTCGTCATATATTTTTAAATTTTTTATTTACCATTTTCAGTTTTTGTTAATCTTTTTTGTTGCTTTATTTATATTTATCTCTATTTATAACTTTATTTTTATTTTGATTTTTATTTATTATTTAATCATTAATTTTTATTTTTATTTTTTAACTTGTTTTATTTTATTTTATTTTTGAATATAGATACAGATGTATGTACTGTGTTGGATCTATCTTTTCGGAAAAAATTCAAAATTATATTGTTTGCCCTTAATGTTTATAAATTAGTTTTTAAGATTTTTCAATTAAAATATAGAATATAAACCCAAGCTTAAAGCTTTGTAGAACACTGAGAAAACTGTATACTCCAAAAAAATTTTAACACTTCTGAGAAAAGTTTGAAATTTGCATGAAAATTTGATGCATTTTTTTTTCAGTGTTTTACAAAGTTTTCAACTTGGGTTTATATGGCATTTGTTAGGAAATGTACGTTAATTTAATTGAAAAACTTTAAGAATAAACAAAAAACATTAGTGACAAACAATAGCATTTTAAATTTGGTCTAAAATGATATGTCCAACACCGTTTGTAGATACGTAAATATATATATTGTATGTACCACTTTTTTAATATATTTTTTTTTTTGATGAGTTATTTAATTTTTTATTCTGACTTATTTTATTTTTACTTGATTCACTTTTATTTTTACTTACTTTATTTTCAATTGCATTCATACTTATTCCATTTTCATTTTTACTTATTACAGTTTGGTTTTGATTTATTTTATTAGATATTTATTTATTTCATTTTTATTATTATTTTTATTTATTTCGCTTTCATTTTTAGTTTTACTTATTTAGTTTTTTTCTTATCGCATGATTTGACTTTCAAATATACATGCTGTTCACAAAAACTTAGGCCAAGGGTTATTTAATAAAAAAATTATCGTACTTTAGACACAAAGAATTGGAAACTTTTTTCAGTAACCTCAATCCCCCAAAACCAATTACAAAACTTCAAGCTATACTTTTCTCACTTTGATTGCAATTTCAAATTTTTTTCTATAATTTACTATGTAATTTTCCAAGAGATTCTTTAATTTAAGCCACACGCAGCTCTGACCAGCTTCGTTGCACTTTCTATAATTTCACGTTTTTGAATATAGCAAACAAACTTTTCCGATACGATTCACATTTACTTCACCGTAACTTTTACATAACGGTTGTTAAAAAGAAATATTTATATTTGGTGTGAAATTTCTACTTATATTTTTACAATGATAACGACTTCGTAAAAAATGAATAATTAAAACTAGAACTTGTTTTTTTTTTTAACTGACTAAGACAGAGACATTTAGTTTTTCGAAAATTGCACATATTGGTTAAAGCTTATGTGCCCTCAGAAAAGCTCAAAGCTATGAAATAAAAATTACTAAAATATTAGTTATATGTACATACATACATACATACAGCATGTAAGGGCGGCACTAAATTTTTTGCTGACAAACGGCCTGCTGCTGATAAAGTACAATTTGAATGAGGCTTCACTAATTTCTAGACAGATAAATAAGAATAGAGCGATGCTGGTTTCTAATGGCGTTTTCTTTTCTACAAAAAATGTTGCCTTCTCAATGCCCTTTCCTTAGTATTTGTGCGAAAAGAAAACGCCATAAGTAAAGCTCAAATTAGTCTCAGCTTAAAAGTGTAAATACTCAGAAACTGCATAAATTATCAAAAAAAAAAAAAAAAACAGTTAAATAAGTTGTAGATGTGAAAAATTCCACCGATTACTTATTTAGAACCACAGTAATTTAATTTCTTAAAAACAAAAAAGAAATTTTAATTTAATTCAACGCATTCACTAATTGACTGAACAGTTGTGTACTTGAAGTACCGCTGTCTGTCCGTCAATATCGATCTGCTGAATATATGTATGTATAAACATACATATGTATATATATATG